AAAAAAAGCAAAGATAATAATAATATCAATAACAATATCTAGCAGCAACTCCGGGAAAACATCAGGGTTAATGCAAGATAATTACTGCTACACACCCCCCATGGGGTAATACCCACGGCGACAGTTGCAGAGGCTGCAGAGTTGGAAGTGCACGAGTACTGGCAGCTCTTCAGTGCAACACATGGGACTTTCATCAAAGCTAACTTCAAAAGCTAACACCCGTGCTTAAACTCATTGGGGGATTTAAGACACAACCTGGACAAGTGCTGACATGCTGAATGTAACCAGTGGGAGTAAGATAAAAGACCAATCTCAGATTAAAAGAAACGATATTGGTAAGGTTTCTTTTTCCTCTTTTAAAATGTAGTTTCTTGATTCAAAAAAGACAACAAAAAAGGGCTGCCGTTTGATTGATTGCTAACATATAATAGCTCAATGCAAAACACAAAAATGCAAATGCTTAAAAAAGTAGAGCAAAGCTGTACCCACAACGGACGGGATCATCCACACAGACACAGGATCACTCTTACAAGCACACCTTACCAAATAAAATAAAAAATAAGAAGAAAAAGACATCATTGGGAAAAAAACCCACTTCAAAAGGTAGACCTTCAAGACTTAACGCCAAAGCTGGGTGTAATAATGTGATGCAGATGATGTTATCCCGTCTGGAAGTGTTGCATCAACTGCCAGCTCCTCCAGGGTGGGTGAAGGTGGTGATGAGGAGGGGGGGGGGGGGTTCACATGCACTACGGCAGGCCCTCTGGGCCACAACAGTGTCTGAGTACTGTGTGCCCGGCATGTAAACGAGGCTGCTCAGCTCTGCTGTGTTTCCAACAACTATTATCCGGCGGATTAATGAATGGGCTCCACTGTTGTTCACTGACTCATCCAGGACTGCGGCAGCGGAGCACCTGACAGCCCCTAATGTATTCAAGCAGAAGAAGTGCAATGTTTTGAAGCATTGTTACCCAGCATTACACACAGTATTTGCAGCAGAGAGTATTTTATCTTCATTTTCCATCACATGTAATGTTTTGAACTGGATTTACACAGGAAATAAAAGGACCTCTTCTGGATAATAAAAATACAATCTAAAAACATTAGGATGAATGATTTTCACATTCAGATTATCAGAAATTCTAAGTACCAGATATGTCCACATTATGATACACCCACCATCTTGTCCTTTGACACACATCATATAATATTTTAAGAGATAGCACTGCAGCAGAACCAAGAGATTGGCTATTTACTTTAAATATAGAGTAGGCATTATCGCAAGGTTTTTTTTTATGAGCGTCTATAACAAGTTTATAATATATCTTATTCAATATCTCAAATTCTTTAGCAATAAATTAGTTTTTTTGCAGAGACGGTTAAAGAAAGGAGCTCTTCTTAAAAAAACAGAGATTTCAACCAAATTAAAACAAATTCCACCTCAAAAATGTCACAATGGTTAATGTATACAATTTAAAAAACATGTTGTTTGTATTAGAAGGTTACTGTATCTCTAATTTGTCACTTATTGTCCTCTTTGTTAAACAAACTTTAAACCTGAGTTGCTAACCATGACTCACCAGTGCAACCATATGGTGGTGGAGAAAGGCTTATCAGGTTTTTAAATTATTTTCAGTTATGGGAAATGACTTTAAATGGTCTGTTGTTTCCAATTACATTAGGCTGTTAACAAAATCATAGACTAAACAGACATAAAAAGTGTTTTAAATATTTCAAAACAATGCATTGTTCATTATTATTCGTTTTCTTTTCTCTTCTTAAGTTGTTTAGAGTACAACACTTTCATATAAAAAGTGTCTTAGTAAAAAAATCAACTTTAAAAGTAAAGCATGATAAAGATAAATCAGCATTTACTTGAGCAGATGTTTATAAAGATCTCAAATGACGACTGAATACCTTAACATCTATCAGTTTGGAAAATGTGTTTTATTATGAAGGGGGATTGTAACTAACCACAGACCTCAATTAAAGTTTTCAACCAACATAAACATGGTAGTAGCTTATTTTTATTTTTCAAACCATTTGAATTTTTGAATTAATTCTGGTGTTAAATAAGACATGGCTTAAAAATATAGATTTGGTAAAACAGAACGGCAAAATTATAATTCTTTTTGCCAACAGCCATCAAAATCTACAACATTTTTAAGAAACCCATATAATGAGTCAGAGCAAACAATTTCCTTTATAGATTAATAACATATTCTTTACTCCAATTTGAACTAAATTACACATAAACATCCAACCCCAGTCCACTTTTAAATATTACTTCTGCATAAAAAGTTTTAAACTATATAAAAATTATCATAAAAGCAACCATTGTATATAAATTCATCTTCTGTCCATGTGGTATTTTGATGAATTATTGAGATTATTAAATTGAACATGATTATATATTCCAATCTAATACGTAATTTTATTTCATTTTATATCATTTACTCTAGATTTTTACACTGGACCCTATTTTTTATCAATTGTGGTGCTGATATCAGCTTAGACTAATAGCCTATTATAAAATATAAAGAAGATAATTTGCATGTATAACAATCCTAGCTAGAAATCATCATTAGTTGCCCATTGCTGTACAAATTCAATCATGTTTGGAACAAAGATGCAAAATATCAAGGGGCAACATTCCAATATGTTGCATACAAAATTACCAAAAGCAAACATCATTTCAACTTTTTTTTTTACTCAACCTCAACCACACTTTATTTAACAAAATATAAGCAGGTCAAATATCGCAAAGCATATAAATGTAACTTTGAAACACAGCATTTGAAAATCATGACAAATCATCATTATTATAATCAGTGGTTCTGTGGCACAGTTAATACCCCACAGTATAGTTGTGATTGCTCCACAATGTAATGACCTAAGCCTTCCAATCCCAATGTGGCTGCACAGCAAAAACTAAGAGGGAAGGGAAACCAGTTGGCTGCACCAAAATAGATCTGATGTATAGTTTTGTATTTTGCAAAGATGGAAAGGGTGGGAAAGTGAGAAAGTTAAGGAGGAGCATAGGGATGTACACACGTCTTGCGTCAAGATTGCAACTCACTTTAAAGTGCACTGCAAAAATGATGTGGAAATAAGTAAAAATGTGTTAAATCAAGAGTATTTATCCTTAATTTCAGTAGATAAATAAGATGAATTGCCAAAGGAATAAGTAATTGTACTCTTAAAATAAGATAATTGAATAATATGCACTTAGGATAAGAAAATGCAATTGTTTTTTTCTTATTTTAAATTTAAATCATCTTGTTCCTTTGGCAAAGTGTCTCAATTACCTCCTCAATTCAATAACAAATACACTTATTTTAAGCAAAAATGACTTTTTAGATTTCAAAAATTTGCAGTGTGATAACAGGCTGATCATAACCAAATCGGGTAGTTATTTTGCTTATATTTTCTAAATTTCCGTACACAAACTCAGTTGTAAAATCCCAAGTACAGAAAATATATATTTTCAGTTATCTAAGAGTGAAACTGTATACCTAATGAAATTTTAGAAGCAAATTGTTAGGAAAATGGAACTTTAAAAAACAGTTTTGAACAAAGCAATTTAGGTCAAGCTGTAAACAACCAACCCCCATACACCCAAACATAGACCCCTCCCGGGGTAGCTAAGCTGTGAAAACTGGTTTTAAATCATAAGCCCATGTATAAAAATATGAAAAGGAAAAAAAATAATAATGCAGCCTTGAGGAGGAGTGTGTCAAGTTTCCAAAAATGCAAACTAAATAAATAAAGAAGGCATCTTGCATCAACTTATCATATTTATGTACGTTTCTATGTTCCTCCCATCCCCTCTATTATAGCCTGTGTTGCAGTAAATACAGCCCGTTACAGTTCTTGTATTTGGACAGGATTAAGATGGCTTTACAAAAGCTCACAATATGATGGAAGTGAATCACAGCCAGAAGCTATTATGTGTGGAGGAATACTTTTTTTTTTTGTATCACATAAGAAAAAAAAGCACCCTATCCTAATGTATGTTTGTCTAGCTGTTTACATATATCCAATGAATAATTAGAATCACTTCTTTGCACAGTTATTGAAAAAATATGATGGTACAAACCCCCCTCCCCAAAATTTTAGATTTTGTTATATTTTGTTCCTTTCACCCAAAAGCAGGCTATGTTCGTTGACACACACACACACACAAAAAAGAACCACATAACTGTTATTGGAGCTACATGAACTTTTGCAGCATAAGCATCTGAGTGACGTTAACTGGTCGTGCTCATCTGCATGTCTGAATATCTTCAACAATTGGCACACTGTTTAAAAAAAGAACAGCATTTTTTTTTTTTTTAGTCTTCTTCATGTTTTTTTTACATTCATAAAAGAAGATGATCACCCTGTGAAAAGTCAAAAGTGCCACAAAAGTAATAAATACATAAATCATTAAATAATTCATATGGCCTAAATTATTAACCAAAGAAATGTAATTAAATTATTTAATAAATATATAAGGATATCAGGAGTTTTAAGTTTTGCAAATAAATCGGTAAAAGTTAAAAAGAGAAATTGAATTTGATGTTTAAACTGTAAAATGTATAATTTTTTAAATAGACCTAATAATTTCAAGATTCATTTTTTTGTATGCGATTGTACACAGTTAAACACTGAAAAATGAATTTAATGAATTATCTATTTAGATAATTGTGGCACTTTTGGACTTCCATACCCTCAGACCTGGGGAGATTTTATTCTGCAACCACCTGGCAGAGCAGACCCAAAGTTGCATTACATTTAACATACAATTAAAGAATGATTTTAAGTCCTATGGTGACCATATTTTGTCTTATGTTTAAAGCAATTAGACAAAATGAAATCAAAATTATTTTACATTTATATTTGGAAACATAATCTAAAAAATTAATCAAACTTGTTTTCTTAATTTTTATGTTTTAAAGGTAAACCTGAAGAATACGGTGAACAGCAACAATAATAAAATGGCGGTCTATTTTTTTTTCCCCGCTGCCCTAGAGGACCTAGCTACTGTGCAAATGCTTTGGAGCCGCTTTGCCACCTAGTATACAGAATAAATAACCCCAAATATTAACCGATGATGAGCTGATTAATAAAATAAATGGTAACAGTTAAAAAGAACATGCACTGACAGCTTCACTTTGATCACCCAACTCCTTCACCAGTTAACATTATTCTTCTCATTTCTCAACTCTGAACAAGTTTTAAAACAACAAATACAAATCCTAACTGCAGGTTCACAAAAAATAGAGAAATGGCACTTTGTAATAGTCATATAATTCTTAATATCTATATATATAGCTGTTGTGGTGGTATATAACATGAGAGGGGAGGGGACTGAGTTTGCCTCCTGGTTGGTGGTTATGGTTCCTCGCCTGTTGTGTGTCTTGTTGAAACCATGCGGAAATATCATCATGCATTTTTATGATACATCAGTCTGGGTATTTACATGTACATTCATGCGTTCGTGCACCATTCCCCAGGTCGTTCCTTTCTCTTTTTCACATACATACACATACACTCTCCCTGGATCCCTTTTCTCCACTCTCAATCTATTTTTCTCCCATCTACAGATTTGTAGTCTGATTGCGGCAGAGAAGAGGAGGAGGAGAAAAGAGCTGAGGGTGTAAGCCAGAGGGGCTTGGCATATACATATATTACAGAGTGGGGCCTTCTGCAGCTTCCAGGCTGACCTATAGGTTCATTAACAAATTTATGTTCCCATTCTTTAATGAATTCTTGTAGTTTTTGTCTACTGTTTATAATCCAGTCTGTGTTTTTTATGCATCGTCCACAGCTGAGAGGTGTGTGCTGCAGTCGAAGCCCCGATGAGCACCTCCGTCTGCATGATATGGCCCACTGTGCCAGTAGGACGAGTCGCACACCGTCTGTAAGGAGTTGATCTCTGATGCGGATGAGTTGCCGTCTCGCCGCTTCGACCGTTTCCGGTTGCGCAGGATGAACACAAGCATCCCCACAACTGTGAAGGCGGATGTGACAAACACGAGCAGCAGCCCAGGCACAAGCACTGATATTGAGACCCGGTTGGGCTCTAAATATGAGTTTGAGCGTGTTCCACCTGAGTCCTGGGCATAAGTCCCATTCTTGGACACTGGTGTGGGCACGGCCCGATCAAACAGCTTGGGGCACATGAGGTCATTACGCACGTAACGGAAGTCCCGTTTCCAGAACTCCTCTGGTGCTTCACACTTGAGGTCACTCACAATTACGTCGGCTCCAAGCTTCTCGGTCCAACGCTTGAAGGGCACAATGTTGCATGAGCAATCCCATGGGTTCCCATGAAGGTCTATCTGGATGATGGAGTTGAGCTGCTCCAAGACACCAGTCACAGGGAGATAGGTAAAGTAATTATTATGTAGACTGATTTTTGACAAAGAAATCCCAACAAAAGCATCCACAGGGAGAGCCTTAAGAAGGTTGTTGTTTAGGAAAAGAACTCTCAGGTTCGGCATGGGGCTGAATGCACCTGCCACTATCAGCTGGATATCGTTGTATTCCAAACTAAGGTATTCCAGATTTACAAGGCCCACAAACATCTCTGCCATTAGTGTATCCAGGTAGTTCTTATCCATGTACAGCCACCGGAGCTCACTCTGGTTCTGGAATGTGCCATTGTCAACAACCTTGATGTTGTTCCCACCGAGATCCAGCAGATTGAGGCTGGAATAGCCGAGGAGCTGGTTCTTCTTAACTGCATGAATGTTGTTGTCTCTCATGTTAAGCTCGTGGGCAGCCAGAGGCTTTGGCTTGAGGGAAGCCAGACTCTCAATCTTTTTGCCCTCGCAATTGACTGCCAGTCCCTTTCTAACGCCCACCAGCTTGCAGCTGCATGGCTGTGGGCACGTGATATTGCGCAGCTGCTCTTCTCCGCCGTCTCCATTCCCATCTGCTGCTGCCATTACCGGTGTGGGCTTTGTTTTCAGCTGCCAACTCTCTGGGGACTTGGAGTTACTCTTGGAACCATTGACTCCGGGTGTAGGGGGCCCTCCACCAGGATTTCTGGGGGGCTTGTAAGGTGTGGGGTGGGAGGTTTCCTCCTGTGTGGGAGGGGCAGGGAGGCTACTATCTCCACCCTCACTTTGTGATGGGCACAAATCTGCTTCTGAGGTCTCATTCAGGTCACTGCCCTGCAGCCTGGTGGGGGCCTCACAGACCACCCTCCCAATGAGGGCATTGCGTGGTATGTTCTCCAGCCACTCCTTCAGGGACACTAGCTCACAGTTACAGTCCCATGGGTTGTCCTCAAGCAGCACCTCTGCAATACCAGGAATTTGCTCAAGAATCCCCTCATAAGGCAATGTTTTGATCCGATTACCCCGCAGATCAAGATGCGTTATGGGCACGTGCTGGAACACGTTTATAGGTAGTGCGCTGATGAGGTTATCATTCAGTATCAAAACTTCCAGTTTATTCAGGTCCCTGAAAACAGCTGGATCAATGTCCCTTAGCAAATTAAAATCCGCCTGAAGGTATTCCAAGTCATCCAAGCCCAAAAAGGTGCTTTTCTTGAATGATCGGATTTTGTTGTTGCTGATGTGCAGCCTCTTGACCAGCTGCAGCCCCAGAAACGCGCCTGGCACAATGTCATGCAGGCCGTTACTCTCCAGGTGCAGGCTCACGGCATTGTAGAAGTTGGCGAACTCGTTGGGGAAGAGCCTGGACAACGAGTTACCGTGCAGCAGCAGGTGGTAGAAGTGGGAGCTGGGGCCGGTCAGGTGCCGCAGCGTGTTTAAGCCGCGCTTCTCGCAGTCAACATGCAGGTCGCCCTCCACCTCACTGCAGGAGCAGATCTTCTCCTTGCAAACCTCCCTGGTGACATTTCCGCTTGCAACGCAGAGAGCCGCATTTAGCAGGATGATCCACAGCAGCATTTTCCCCCCCTTTTGTGTTTTTTTTTTTTTTTTCCTCTTTCTCAGCGCGGACGATTCATTCCCGCCTCTCAAGACATGTAGGAGCTGCTGATCTAGTCTGCATCAGCGAGAGGTGGTGGTGGAGGAGGGGGGGATGGAGCTGTAGACATTTAGGAGGGTAAGGAGCGCATCCAGACTGCGTCCAGACGTCCAGTTTCACTTTAGGATAAAAAAATAAAAACAAACGTCTCCCTTCACTTCCAGCAATTGGTCTGATGGAAAGCATCAGCGGGGCAATGCACCAGGTTCCAGCGCATCTTTACTCTATTTGCTTATTTTTTTTATGTATCTCAGCTTCTTTCACACTGACCTTGGCGCGTTGATGGAAAACCGAAGAAATCTCCCGGAGTCGTGCGGCGCGCTGCGGCGTCGGGATCTGTCCTCCTCCCCCCCCTTCTCTTCCCCTCTCTCTCCTCCCCTCTAGTGCTGAATTCACAGCCTGCGCAGCTGATCCTGAACACCCGCATCCCCTTCTTTCACATCCCCTTTACTTCGCGACGTCTCGCTCTCTGTTTTCCTTCTCTTTCTTGTGTTTGTTATCCTTTTTTGTCGTCACAGTAAGAGGAGCGCGGACGCAGCGCGCATCCCCACAGCGCGCTGGTCTGAGGAAGATCTGACACCCTCTGCTGAGCTGTGGTTGAAAAAAATCCCGACTGAAGCAAAGGAGGTTGGGGGAGGCAATCCGGTTAAATACAAAAAAAAAAGGGACACTCTTTACTGTTGATGTTTAAATCTTCTTATTTAAAGTCCCCTGCTTAATTGTATTTAGTCCTCATCGTCCAAAGCGCTGCTGGGCAGTGTGTTTTATTGCCAAAAAAAAAAAAAAGCACCGATGCCTCTCTTTCCTCTTTCTTTTTAATTTCTAATTTACTTCCATGGCTCTAACTCTGGAAAAACAGTCTGTTGAATGCGGTAAAGCAAACCGTCCGCTATAGGCATGCCTTACACCAGCTGAGAGAGAGAGAGAGAGAGAGAGAAAGAAAACAAAAGATGCGTCAGTGGCTCCCTGTATGCGCATGTGTGCGTGACGTTTTTTTTTTTTTTGTACTTTTTACTCTCTCCCAGATATAAAAAAAATCACCTCTCTTCTTTTTCTTTCATTTTATTTTGAAAAATTGAAGAAAAAAAAACTGCACTGAAAGGAAGGAGGGGGGGCATTGAAACAACCTCCCATCGCCTATAGATCCGCATTATACTCCTCCGTTTGAGATTATTACATCAGTAGGAAAGAGAGAGACAGGGTGGGGGGTATAGTTATCCTCTTTGCTCCATCCCCCCCATCATCCATCTGCAGTGCTCAGTCAGAACTGTGACTGTGACGCCTAATAAGATCCAGACGTGTCAGGGGATCCTGTAAGCAAATGCAACATCAGGCCCACCCAAACAGCTTATCAGAACTGCTCACACGCATTAAACCCTTCACACATTTCATCACCTTACAGGCACAAACTTCACTGAGTTTTAGTAGTGTTTTTAATCTGCATCTGAAAGCGTTGTTTTGCATTCAAATAAACGTTTTTGCTGCTACAACACCAAGTAGCCTAGTCTCTAACTAATCAAGGATGTAACTTTGTGATAGAAGTTGGTGGGGACGCTCTAAGGATAGTGGCTGATGGATCTACAGCTACTCCACCCGAACGCTTTCAATAAGGCTTATACTTTCCAAAAATGAGCTCATACATATATTTATTGAATGCTTTCCTATTGTTGAGAACACAAGAGAACCACAGTACACTGATATTTATAGTTATAGACAGATGCCCGCCTTTAGTGCCTTAATTATAAACGGCTCAAAAACATTAATGTATAAAAAATGACGAATAACAGCAGATACAGATGCCAACAGCAATATATCATGCATCCCTAGTATGGACACAACTTCAATTCCATCCATCCATCCATGCATGGCTTCCCTTTAAGCTGCATCAGTGATTATCCTCCTTCACAAGCAGCAAAATCAAATTTAGAAATCTGTCCCATATGTCATTGACTGCCAAAGTCTATGTATATTTCAAAAATCATTTATGCACTGATTTTTATTATTTGTGCTTTAATTCTTGCAGGTTTCTTATATTTTAATTTCGACTCTGGCTGTCTCTGGGTTGGCTGCCACAGCTATATCTGAGTATTGTTGATCTACAAAAGATATGTTGAATTTTATTATAGCATAGCATATTTTTTCTTGTTGTAATCTTGGAGATATGTGTTACTGCATCTCACATATCCCTGTAAATCTGCAGCTGTCCCTAATTGTCTGCTCTGCTTAAAAACAGATTTATGAACCTGTCTACCAATATAATGATGCCAGAGAAAAATCATTTTCAAGAAATCTAGAAGCTCTGCAGTCTGATTCTCTATTCAATAAGAAAACAACAAATATGTGTTAATTTTCATCTTTAACTCTGAATAATGGTCCTCTGAGAAACCCAGCTTTTTAAACGTATATAAATGTACACTCTGTTGCCATTTTCAGCTGATAAAGCTCCGTATGTGTAGCGAACACATTTTTTCAGTGGCATTTAAAAATTTTTTAACCAACCAGTCTCCTAATTTTTACTGAAACATATACTAAAGTAGCTGCCATATTAAAAGCGGAAATTATCGGTGGGGACTGTCTCCTCCATACCAAAGTTGGTGGGGACATGTCCACACCTGTCCTTCAGAAAGTTATGCCAGTGAGACTAATCGATATCTATTTTTACAAGTTATTTCCAAGCTTAGTTTGAATTGGTAAGGAAGGTCTGAAAGTTGAATTATACAGATGTCTGATTGGATTTTGGTCTGGATTTTGAATTGGGTATGTAATGTATTTTTAGGGCCACAGTCCAGCTGCAAGATTACCCCACTACGTAGACAGTTTTCTTTTGCAGTCACAAGCTTTAAACAGATCCTTTCATTTTTTCATCTGCACTGTAATATGCTGATGGTGTTCATACTTGGTGTCTTGGTCTCATCTTACCAGATCACCTATTTCCCCAGGCATGCCTTAACCCCTCCTTTGGCTAACCTCAAATGGGTCTTCTTACAACTTTTTTTTTTTTGTTTAACCCAGCAGCGATTTTCTCCAGGTTACTTTTCCATTAAGGACACATTTTTACTTCACATAACTAGCTGTTAACTTTTCAATTTATTCACTTGAGCTACAGATCTCAGTAGGTTCTTTATTACTAATCTCTCTTACTGCTTTTATGATCAATCCTCCCCTCGTTCACCCTTGGAAGTCGGATTAACAAGTCCTACTTGAGCTTTCATTGGTTTGATATTTTAATTTTTCTTTTACCGCACCCTGTTTTAAAGCTCATCACAACTTTGTTCTGACCCGTCCTGGATTTTCCTTTTTTTTCATGAAAAAACAAACAAGCAAAGAAAACTTCTGGTACTTACAGAAAAGCTGGTGTTATACTTAGATTCAATACCTAAAAGTAGTCTATTAAGTAATTATGTGAATTCTGTAAGCATTTCTTACACAGTTTTATTTCTTATTTTTGTATGATTATCTTTAAAATAATTACTTTATGAAATACATATTTTCTTTTCTCATTATCTTTGATGTATTACATTAAATCAAAACTAGGGCTACAACTAATGATTACTTTGCAAATCAATGAATCTGTCGATTATTTTTTAATTAATCAATTATTAATTGGATAGCCAAAGGTTCCTTAAAAAAGACTTTTTGCTAAATTAAACCAGTTGAAAATAAAACTTTTCCACTCCAGAAAAAGTTTCTGAATAGATACCATTCTGGATAGATAATATGGACAGACAAAAAATATTTTTGTCTTAAATGCAAAATCTTTACATATTTTTCTTTTTTTTTTTTTTTCTCGGTATAATTGCTCCTCAAGGTAGGTTCTGTAAGCTAAATGTATGCTCCAGTTAACAATTGATCACTAAATTTATTGACAATTATTTCAACAATCGATTAATCATGATTAATCTGATTATTTGTTTCAACCCTAATCAAAACAAAATACAATTTGTGACATTAATGGCTGTGATGTAATAAAATGTGAGGAAGTTTGACAACAGGTGTGAGCCAAAGCTACATAAATTATTTTTGTGGAGTTTCTGACTTTTCCCCTTATGCTGTTTTTCTACCATTAATTTAAAGTACTCCTGCAATACAAAGACATACATGATGGGTTAATGGATGCTCTTAGATCCCATTAGGCATCTCTCAGCCTTGTGAGAGACCAGTGACCTCTAGAGCGTGCACCCCGACATACTGACTTATCCTCTGGTTGAAGTGATGCTGCTGAAACCTCTGAATTACTTGGTCAGTGATTCAGACATATACGTAGCTTCTAAGGTAAAAAGCCACAAAAGCTTCAGGGTTTTCTATTAATGCATTTATGTATGTTTTCATCCAATAGAAAAAGGATTTACTCTTCCATTTAAAATGCCTGCTGTGAGGTAGATTAAGGTAGGATGTGTTTGAGTAAAATGCTAAATAGTTGGTTATTGGTGAAAATGTGGGAGTGCATAAAGCGAATAAAAGTGCTTATACTGTATCAGGCAGTGGTAGGGAGATATGGTCAAACGAAAGACTGCTTTATAAGATTATCATTACCAGATAGCTGAATGGTGGACAAATGTTATGGACATTCATGGTGGTTTGTGCAACTTTCGGTCAGCCTCCTGGGATCACATTCCTGCTAGCTTTGTATTAGAGCTGCAGCATGCATGTTTTTCTATGCAGCAGGTGGGG